AAGTCAGATTTTTCTGGGTTTGAATAGCAGTCATTATTAGCTGCAGCTAAATATACTTATGTTTTCCATCAGTAAAATGGAGATGGTAAGAGCTGGAATTAGATTCTGAGATCATATGAGGTAACATGTGTACAAACGTCTGGAGATGGGTAGGCACATAATACGTTGTCAGTTACTTACAGTAACAGAAGAGCATAGCAATTCATGAGCACTTTACCTTTCAGCAAAGGGCATCCATTTTCCTATGCCTTTGTCTATATTTTGTACTATCATTCTTATCTAACAGAACAGGCCAAAAATAATAATAAAAATGGCGTAAGAAAAGGAAAAAGACATCCCTATATTGGATGGATAGCTTCCGTTGTCAACTGGATACACCAGGGAAGAGGGAACCTCAATTGGGGAAATTTCCTCTACTGCATTGGCCTGTGGGCATATGTGGGAGACATTTTCTTGATTGCTGAGTAATGTGGGAAGACCCAGCCCAAAGTGGGTGGTGCCACCCTGGGCAGGTGGTCCTGGGTTGTAAGAAAGCAGGGTGAGCACGGGCCAGAGGAGCAAACCAGTAAGCCAAGCAGCCTTTCCCCAGGGTCCCTGCTTCAGTTTCTGTTTCCAGGTTCCTGCTTAATTTCCTGTCCTGGCTTTAGTTGATGAAGGATCATACTGTAAACTGAAATAAGCCCTTTTCTCCCCAAGGTGGTTTTGGTCAGTGTTTTACCACAGCAATAAAGAGCTAACCAAAACAGTCCCACTGTTTTGTTCTTTGACTTTAAGTAATTTAAAAAGTTTCATACTTTCATTAACCATTAGTATAGACTCAAGTTTTCTTCTTGAGTTATCATATTTTTCAAAAAATCTTCTCTATTACACAATTATTAAGACGGCTATCTATATTTTCCCCCAATATCGGCATGTTTGTTTGCTTGATTTTTTTTCCTTCAAGAGTTTAATCCTGGGGCATGTGTAAAGTGCTTAACTGCAAGCATGAGGACTTGAGTTTGAGCCCTAGAACCCATGAAAAAAAGTATGTGTCATGGAACATGCTCATGATCCCAGTGCTGGGGGCAGAGAGAGGCAGATTCCTGAGGCTCTCTGGCCAGCCAGTCAGGCCTAATCAACTAGTTCCAGGCCAATGAGAAACTTTTTCCTGAAAAAACAAGGTGAATGGTATCTGAGCATCTGAGCATCTGAGGACTGATAACCAAGGCTATTCTCTGGCCTCTACAGACATTTGCACACATGTGCACCCATGGGAACACACACATACCTACCCACCCACACTGGAGTTTAATTCTTTGTGGACTCATTCTAGTGTAGCTTTTCTTGTATGGAAAAAGCTAGAACAGTCACATATTTGAAAGGAAAAACAACAGGCAGCAAAAAAGGGGACAAGGAAGGCGAGCACCCAGCAGGCAAATTCAGGATTCCCTTCCCAGTGAACTCTGAATTCTCAAATCCTCTAACAACCTTTACAGGACACCATTAACCATTGCCCATTCTTTCAAGTATCTGGTCTTTGTGAAAAGAAAAGAGAGGAAAGAGTCAAAATAGAGTGAAAAGGAAATAAAAACATTTATTTGAAGATAGGAAATATATCTCTATCAAGGTGTATGTTTCATAAACTTTAATGTCCTTGCTAATAACTGAATCTGATCAACATTTTTCTGAAATAGGCATGCCCCTTTAGATTTTAACAAGCTGAAAACTAAATTTCTAAAAATGTTTGTTTTCCTATTTATTGCATAGAAGATTGTCAACAAAGTTGTCATTGTTCCAGAGGCACAGTACAATGGCAGAGTGTGTGCTTAGCATGTAGAAAGCCTTGAGTTAAATCTTTAACACCAAGGAAAAAAGTCATTGATTGATATACAACAGTATAATATTTAGGCACATTTGGAAGCAGGCACATGGAAGCACCTTTTCAGCTGTCCCGTATAGGTGGGACATGTGGAGAGTTTACTACATATACATTTACATGGAAAATTTTCATTCATCCTCAATATAAGTACAAAAGTAATATCAATCTCATTATATGGAGAAAAAGATTCAGACAAATGAGAAAACAACTAGAGTTCATTTTAATTTAGTCCATTGAATCAAACCTTTTCTGATACTTGTGTACACAATAGCCCTAAACCTGGGCGGTCCTTTCTGAGCAATGGGGGTAGATCTCTAGCTGAGCTGACTTATGCTGTGCTGTGTGCTGAGTTTGGTTCAGGGAACTCTTTGCACTAGAGACCTCCACCCCTCAACCCAGATCACCACTGTACTGTGAGCCTGAAAACAGATGTGGTTCTGCCTAACTCTCTGCCTATCCTTGGGGAGCTGGAGCCCAATTAGACCAGGGAAATGTTTGGACTCCTTTCCTTCAAGGCCATTTACTTCCTTGCCTCCCCTTTCGAACAAATACAAGGAAAAGTAGGCTTGACACTAGAGCTCAGGTCTTAATGGGGAGTCAGGCATGCAATATGAAACCCACACACCTTGCTTGCTCACTGCCCTAACTGAAACTTGACCTTTCTGCAGCAAGCCAATGTGCCAAATTCAACATAAGATTTGTTCTTGGTAAAGAAGCAAAGTACTGTTGAAGCAGTAAGAAGTTATAAGGCAAGCACAATGAAAATAAAGTCACATTTATTTTATACCAGACAAATTGTAAATCTTTCCTCTTTGAGAAGACAAGTGGGGCTCTTAAAAAGAGCCCTTTAGGTCCATGAGTGAACCAAATTAAAATTTTATATCAAATTATGAAATGCTTTTAATTAAACAATCCATGTTTCATTCTAAAAGAAACTTCTAAAATGTTAATGCATTTTAAGTTTATTACTAAATCCCCAAAGCACAACAAATCAGCAATAGAAAATAAAAATGCTCTCTAAACATTTTCCTCTATGTGTACCATGTTTTGGCGATTAATAATTTATAATAAAAGATCAGTATGCTTTATATTTTATAAAATGTTTCAAAGGGGCATAAATTAGGTGTAATAAGTTAAATAAGCATACTATTTAAAACTGAAAGGTGGAAAACCCTGAAGCACTGGTGGTGATTAAATAATGTCCTATAGAATTATAAAACAATCTAGAGATAGAACTTCCACAACTTTAACAAATTGGAGAGGACACCTAAGTATCAAAACGTGCTGAAAAGGTAGCTTTGTTTTTCCTGAAAAATAAAATATAATAAAATCAAGAACAAAGGTAACTATAGATTAAAGCTTGAGCTGTTAAAATTAGAAACATAAGAGGACATTTTTCCTTTTTGGTAACTACACGTGTATCTTCACATTCAGTCAAGAGTTAATCCTACTAAGTAAAAGATAAATATGAGTTTAATAAATGTTTCAGCCAAGTATTTTTCTGCTAAACACAGAGTTACACATAGAGGAACCCAAATCTTCTTGTGATACATGACAAAACCCCTGATGGGCTAATAGTTTTTCATTTGACTTTATAAATAAATAGCTTGAAAGTACTAAGAGTTATCTTTTTCATTATCTTGGTGTATATACAGGCAAGTTAAAATGTATTTTCAGTATTTTAAAAAATTTTTATTAGGAAGAATAGCTAGTTATAAGAAAGAAATTTGAATTACTTTGATAGTTAAGAATTTAATTAGACTCATGCATAGGCCTATACCTATAATTCCAGCATTTGAGAGGCTGAGACAGGAGGATTGCCATGAGTTTGAGGCTACTCTGGGCTATGTAGTAAGACTCTGTCTCAAAAAAACCGCAAAAAAGAAAAGAAAAGGTCTAGTTAGAATACGTGTGTGTCTGTGTGTGTGTCTGTGTGTGTATGACTACAAAATTAAATATTTAAGCTATATTTTGTTTCTTAGAATAGGCAGATAAATAAACTAAACTATCTTAGAACATGATCTAAGTTAAAAAACAAGAGAGCAATCAGCAATTCCATGTGTCAATCAGCCTGCTGAAGAGTTAACATACAGACCACATTTTCAGTACAAAGCCTCTGAAACACAATTCTCCTCTCCCAAATGCTAAGTAGAATTCTGCATTTTTATGGACTTACTCATTATTTATTAGGAACTTTATTATTCAGACCAAGGGTTTTTGCAACTAAACCAAATACTAGTTTTTCTCTTTTCATGTTGAAGTGGCATCTTTTTTTACATACCTTACATAATAAAATACCCTGGGAAAAGTTACTACTATTCAGATGGTGTACCGTAAATAACTATTTAGTGGATAAGGAGTTAATAAAGTTTTCAAGGTCTGCTAAAGAATTATGGAGCTCATCATTTAGATCTTGACCTCTAAGAAATTTTTTAAGAGTAACTAAAGCCATGGTTGCTTCACTTTTTGATGGTAAAGGAAGGTCCACTTCTAGAGCTCCACTGTCCTCCTCTTCATCAGAAGTATAAAATCCAGTTTCATCTGGCTTACCTTCTTCAGTCTGCTCCAAGTCATCGTTCGGTGCAGCTTCACAAGTCTGTAAGTCATCGTCCAGGGCTGCATACTCCTCTATGGACAAGCCTTCAGGGAACTCCATTCCTGCCCCAGGAGCACGGCCAACCAAGTCAGGAGCAGCAGCTCTCTCTGCATCTGTAGTGTCGTTTTCTCCCGTTGGAGACTTGAATCCTGCTTCTTCAAAGCTTTTAACAATAGTCTCTGGAGTTACAGCCCTCCAACAGAGATGCAATGTGTCAACCGCATCCAGAAGTGAAAAGGTAAATTCTTTGCTGTTTTCAACAGAACTTAAAAATTTCTTGATAAGACATTGCCGATACTTGATTTTAAGGCTTTTAATAACACCTTGTTTCATGGCTACACATCTGGAAGATAAACATGATGGAAAGAAGGCTAACTCAATGGACTTGAGGTTCTTTACCTCTGGATGTGCAGGAAAAGAATCAACAAAGATCACCACTCTCCGTTGCTGGGCTTGAAATTTCTCATCAAGCTTCTGCATCCACTGTTCAAATATAGCTGAGGTCATCCATGCCATTCTATGGGCTTCATAATGCACAGGCAGTGATTTTATACCTCTGAAACAATGCGGAGTTTGGTTTTTCCCAATGACAAGCAAAGGAAGTTTCTCCGAGCCGTCCATGTTTGTACCAACTGCCAGAGTTATCCTGTCTTTGTACAACTTTCCAACTGAACATGTTTCTCCTTTAAATGCAAATGTATTCGTAGGTAACATTCGATAAAGCAGTCCAGTTTCTTTTATATTAAAAACATTTTTAGGTTGATAATCATTTAAATAATAAGGAAGCACATTTTGGTACCAGACAGTTGAAGGGTCTATGGATACACCTGTAGTTTCGACAGGCTGTGCTCTGAACACTAAACCATACCTGGACTTAAAACGATCCAGCCAACCATTACTGCACTTAAAATCATTATGTCCCAGTTTCTGGGCAAAATCATTAGCTTTCAGACGCAACATAGGACCATTAACTGGAACATTTAGGCACTGTGCAATACGATACCACCTCATTAATGCCTCTTCTAGATCAGTATAAAAAGCTGTCCTCAGTCTTTTTCTCTTTGGATCAAATCTTAGAGATTCAAAGGCTTCGAGAACTCTGTCTTTATTCTTCATGATGGAAGACAGTGAGTTTTTCTTTATTCCATATTCGGCTGCGATCTCTGCTTTTTTCTTGCCGCTTTCCACAGCATTTATGATGTCAACCTTTTCCTCAATGGACAGACTTTTCTTTTTCTTCACTGTTACAGGCTGAGTCGACGAATCCACAGCTTCTGCCATGTCAGCAACTGCCTTCAGCTCTCGCCTTGGCCTCTGGCGTTGGAGTCTTTAATCCCACTTGTTTGTCAATAGGATACACACCGCTGCTTTCTACCTCATTTCATAGATTATAAGTTGGTGAATATCAATAGTCTTATTCTTTAGGAAATTGACAACTACATACAGCTTTTCAAAGAATCTGAAGAAAATCCTATATGCAATTAGAAGGTTTTAGAAGAGGAACTTCCATCCTAGGACATTGTCTAGCTCAGTTTATAGTTCTTCAGCGTTCCAGAAGTCAAGCTAAAATAGAAATCTCATTATGTCAAAACTTGTCCAGTCCTGCTGATATATTTTTGGAACTGCAATCTTTTAAGATGATCCATTTGATCCATGCACGCATTCAACCTTTTACGAATTCGCCACAGAAGGCTGAAAAGATAAGAACTAAAAAACATTCACAATGTCAGGCAAAAGTTTACTCATTAAGTTCTAAGTCTCTTCAAGGGTAGAAGAAAACGGCAGAGTCCCTCTGTGGCTTTCCAGTATTCTGTCTTGAAAATTTTTTTTTAAAAAGACAACAATTTTCGCAACTGGAGAGCAAGAAAATACCAACTATTATGTTCTTAAGTAACAATGAAAAGAATGGGAAGATGTCTCTGAAAATGCAATAACCAAAGCTTCCAGGATGAATACTTACCTCCTAAAGCTGCGCCATTAAAAGCTGTCCATCTCTGCCGTCTATTCAAATTCTCATTTGCCTTTGAATGCTTTATAATATATACTTCTAAAATAAATCAAACAAATTTAATCTGTTTTGAAAATGTGGGCTTGCCAAAATTAAAGCACTATAAATGATGCTGGATAGATCCTTGGTGGCTATTTTCTACATGAGGTCATAGACTGCACCCTCTAACTCTAACAGAAAAAAATACACAGACAGTAGTCACGAGGCTCAATTTTTAATAGCACATGGGAGACAGTTTCCTTCAGAGGAGTCTGGAGAGCAGGCTTTATTGAAAATATTCACATTAAGTGATTGATAACCCTATCAAAAGATCTAAATCTCATTCTACCTAAAAGCTTAAAAACTCGGTAACTTTTATATCAACTTGACACATTACCCAAATATACACAGGCCAGAAATACTTGAGAATGTGCCCAGTAATAAACACATTATTAAGAATGTAATAACACATTATTAAGAAAATACAGTGTGGGAAGAAACTAGACTAAAAGACTAAAATGACCACAGGTATTACTCACTCAGGCCCTCTACTGCCTGTGCGTGAATAAGGGACTTACCATAGCATAGAGACATGGGAGTTGGTAGAGGATAAATCTGAACTGAGAAGTGACTGCCATTTAGTACTTATGTGATCTGGAGTCATTATTTAACAACTCAAGCCTCAGCTCCTTTATCTATAAAAGGGAGGTAACTATAGGACTGACCTCACAGAGTTGCTGCACATTCAGTAAGATTCAGTGAGATCCAGTAAGAGGCACTTAGCATAGCAGTTACACACATACACATCCACCTTTGCATGGGTTCAATGAGACTCAGTAAGAGGCACATAGCATAGCATAGCATTTAACAGGCATACACACCCAGCCTTGCATATAGTCTAGGCTGGCCTTGAACTTGCCAACCTCCTACTTCAGCCTCCTAAGTCCTAGAATTACAAGTGTGCAACTCACCAGGCCCAGCAGTACTTAATATTTTAAGAAAGAACCCAACAAATGTGGGCTGATGATTTTATTATTGCTCTCTTCTCTCTCTTGAGTCCTACCTTAAACATATACTGGAAGCAGTCTCTCTCTCTCTCCTCTCTCTCTATGTACATGTGTGCAGGTGCAGGCACTTACTAATAAGCATGTGAAGGCCAGAGGAGGATGTCTGGTGTCACTTTCTATGCCTTTCTGATGTCTTCCCTTGAAACAAGGTCTCTTACTGAACCTGGTGCTCACCGTTTTTTCAGCTAGGCTGGCCTCCAGCAAAGCCCAACTGACCTACTATCTCTGCACCCTACTCCCAGCACTGGGGTTACAGATGTATAAGGCCACACTTGGCTTTTTAGGTTGGGTGCTGGGGACCTGAACTCAGTTCCTCATGCTTGAACAGCAAGCTTTCTTACCCACTGAACCATCTCCCTTGCTCAACAGCACTCTTCCTAAGCAGCAGTACAGTGAGAACAGCCACAGGGCCCCAGACAGGCTCATGTCTACCTTCCCAGTCATCAGCTTTCTTGCCAGGATCTATCCGTTCTGGGCATGCTGGAGTCAAGATAAAAAGCTAATGTGGCCAGTGGTTATTACTGTGGGGGCACTCCATTCCTCCTTCTGTGCTCCCAAGCTTCCCAGATGACGCCCTGCATCTTTCTCTTAGGCCGGTCTTGAACCTGTAATCTTCCTACCCAGCTCCTGAATTGCTGTGATTATAGGTATACCCAGCTTGCACAAACCTTCTTGTCAAAATTCTTCTGCTCCTGTTATCTAACTCAAAGGAGTGATTTTTAATCACAGGAATTACAACCCATAGTTTTTCCTAAATTGTTGTTACAAAACTGTCTTTACTAATAGTAATAGTAATAGTAATATTGGAGCCTTGGTTTCCAAATTGCTTTGCTATTTAAAATTCAAATAACTAAGGACGAAAGTAAAACTGGGTTTTAGTGGTTACACAGTTAATGTGATTTGGGTGCAGTTCAGAATCTAGGTTTTATAATGTCAAGTTTACATTCTATTCATTATATTACAACATCCTTGAATTACACTGGCAGGGCCTTCTAGGATCACAATTACATGTTCTATGTTCTCAGCACTAAGCCAAGTCAGCATTTCTAATACCTACCCAGAGCTTACAACAACAACAAATTTTAGAGGCACTATCAGGCTTCTGTAGAACAGACTGTTATGGATGCTGTGGACATCCATAACATCTCTACCTGACTTAGGAAGAGCTAGGCTTTCTAAGTAAATAGGATTTGACCATTTGATTTAGCCCCTTCACCCCTAAAATCCTTACTCATTTATATGGGAATTGCCCATATATTCTCCTATCAATCTCTCTCTCTCTCTCTCTCTCTCTCTCTCTCTCTTTCTGTTAAAATAAGACGTGTTTATGTGGGCATGTACCTGTATACCTGTGTTACATATACAGCCGGGTATGGTGGCACTTGTCTTTAATCCCAGCACTCTCAGGCAGGACTCTGTGAGTTTGAGGTCAACCTGATCTACAAAGTGAGTTCCAGGTCAGCCAGTGCTGCATAGTGAGACCCTGCCTCAAAAAAAAAAAAAAAATCTTGCTCTTATTAGGATGATATCAACATGCGGAAACTGAAATGGCCAAAACAAGCTCTTCAAGAAAAAAACAATCAAAATTATTTTCTGAGAAAAGGCATCTGCCATCTCTTCTCTCTCTCCCACTTCGTTTTGTCAGAAATAAACAGAATTGCAGAAAAAGAAACTTGAATTTCTTCTCTTTATTCATCCTAATCAAAGCAGTATGATATAGATCAAAAATCCCTAATTCTCAATTCTTAAATCCAGTGGATTTTAATGATTAGGAATATAAGGTCTATGCAAATATTCCAAATAAAAAGTTCAGAATCTGAAAATTCTTTTCCTCCTTGAATTAACAGTGTTATTTCTTCAACAACAAAAGGCAAAGCTACAATTATCCACAATAAAATATAATACATCCCTAAAACAATCACAGATGTGACACCAAATCATACCTACTAAACTTTTTCCTAAGAAAAGTCTAAGTACCAATACTGCCTTCATCACTAAAATGCATAGCCTCCAACCTCCCACAGTAGAGCAGCTGGCATGTTTTCACAAGGAGTCATGGCAGAACTATTTCTTACAAGTACTCATCCTCTTAACTAAGTTCATGATATATTCTCCCTTGAACACATGATATCAGAAAAATAGTATTCTTCAAATTGGAAAATATTTTCTCCATGTCAAGAGTAAAACTAAATAAGATTAGGTGAATCGCCTGAAGAAAACTTGCCACCTAAACTCCAAATAAAGAAAAAAATGGCCAAACTAGTAGCAATAAAGTCCTCTTTTGTAGTTTTTGGTTTTACCTACAAGAATGGCAGTATCTAATGCTTGCTAGGGTGGAGTCACACAGGTCATGAGGAGGCACACAAATCAGTATAAGGCTTACAGAAGGTAAATTAACAATATGAGAGAAAAATCTTAAAATGTGATTTATCTTTTTTTCTAGCAAAACTGAATCTACAATTCTATCCTGAAAGAATTAGAGGTATAAAAACAATTTCTTATAAATGCGTTCATTTTCTCTTGCTATGTAACAAATTATTATACACAAATGATTTAAAAACAATAGCCATTTATTGTTTCACACTTCTATAGGGCAGAAATCCAGTAAACTCAACTGGTCTTATGATTAGGGTCTCACAAAGCAGAATCAGGATGTCAAGCAGAGGCTGGGCTCTTATCTGGAGGCTCTGAGGAAGAAATGGTTTCCATGTTTCATGAGGTTATTTTCAGAATTTTGTCCCTTGATGTTGTAAGACTGAAGTCCCTGGTATTTGACAGCTGTTGGCAGGGTTCCCTCTCCAAGCCCAGAGCCCTCTGTCCTGTCCTTGTCTGTGATCTTCTTCATTTACAACAGAGAATGCCCCTCCTGTTCAATCTCTTTGACTTCCACTAGTCTACTACTTCCAAAAACTGCTTTTACGGAGCTCATGCGGCTGAGCTAGAGTCACCCAGATTACCTCCCTTTTTAATAACTCACAGTCAACTAATCAGTCACCTTAATTCCACCTGCAAAGATCCCCTTGCAGGCAACATAGCATAATTATGAAAGTATTATCCCTCCTGTACATGGGAAGGGAATGATGCAAAGTAGGACTCATTGCAGGTCAGCCCAGAATTCTGCAGGGCACACAATGCAGTATTCTTTGAGTTTTACATAATTATAGATAGAACCAGAAAAATATAAATACGCAACCCAGTGATAATTAAATTAATAAAGGATTATCTATATGTTGAAATACTACTGAACTACTGAAGGACATATTTTTTGAGA